CATACCCGTATCCCACCAAGTGTTTTGCAATAAGTAAGTACATATTTTCGTTCATAGTAGTTAAGGACACCTCATATTGTCTGTTAGTGAGGAAGTAGTATTCGGTTTTGCTGTTCTGATTGTGTTTAGCTCTGTGCATCTATTGCACTAGTGACTTTATCCCAACCTTGTTTTTCCTCATTAAAAGAGGATTTGTTTCACATGAGCCTCTAGGACATCCTGTTCCCAACACACACAACTTCTCTGCCAGTTTTCTGCAGTCACTCTTTACAATAAGGGTCAAACATAACATGTACATCCTGACTTGTAAGATGCAGTGGCCTCAATATGTATTTGGGTAATTATGCAACATAAAAATGTTTGAATGTCATTACATTAGAAAAGGGATTCCTCAACTTTTTTGTCAGACAAACCCCTTTGACATAATAATTTAACAACATATTCACATGTTGGTCACATGACATTAATTATAAGAACCCACAGCAGTTCCCTTGCAAACGTACAGGGGTTTTCAAATCCCAGTTTGGGAAATCCTGCATAGATAAAATTATCAAACCAAGTGGCATATGCAAACAAATTATGCATTTTTCAGAACAAACTTCTCTTTTCTCAGTAACTTTTCCGATTACTTAACCAACTGATCTCCGAGTGATTTTTAAGTGCACCAATACTTGTGGGCCACTGTATGTTCTTTCTAATTGGTGTTTGAAGGAAACTGTTTGGTGCTGAGAGACTAGAGTCTTATCTGTGAGTCACAGGAAGATACAAATATCAGACACAGCCTCCATTGTGTTTGCAATCGCTAAAGCTGAAATCTCAGACTCCTTTTCTCATATCCTGTTTTTACAGAAACACTGAGCACTGCCTTCAGAAACGATCACAGGGACAACAGAGCGGGATAGAGACGCAGATGGACCGAAAAGCACTTTAAATGTGCTGAGGACAACTACTCTTTCCCTTATCAGATGACCTTATGTAGGTCACACACGCCACATGTGCTTACATCCAGGCATTAGTGGGATCATTCGGGTAACTGGAACAGTAGTTCCTCCACACCCTTTTCTAAGCTTGATCTGAAAAAAAAAAAATAAACAACCCGTTTCCTTTAACTCTTTAACAAAGTACTCATTATCGCGGCGTTCACGCGTTCTAGGGATTAGTTTTTTGAATGTGCTTATTGGAAGCCATTCATTTGGAGATACTTTTACCAAAAGTACAAAACAAACACTTCATTATAGTACTCTACTGTCATTTAGACAGAAAATGCTCAATTTAAACATAAAATGCTGTTGATTCAACTTGTGTTGAGTTTATAGTCAACACAAGAGCCATTTCCTGAGAAATCTGACCTTTTGAGGATGTCATGTGACCTGCGATGACAAATACTCCTCAGTACACATCCCCTTCCTTTAGCTCCTCAATCTGTAATGTACATAATATTTCCGACAGTCCTCACGACTTGTTATTCGACCATGTTTGGCCATTATCTAGATGGCAACACCAAAATACACAGAAAGAGTTTCAAACTTGTCTCTTAAGAACTTTTCTTTTGCTCTTACTGGTGACCCAGATTCAAAGTTTGAAAAGGACTGGGACATGAGTCCAATCTCAGTAGACACAAGCCCTAGTTTAATACGTCCTCTAAAAGACTGAATGAAAAAGTGCTGAATCTAAAAACAGTCTGGACAAATGTCCTCTCTACTTGAAATGCATTTGGCCTTACTAGTAAATACTAAGGCTTTGATGACGGTACAATTACATATATAGTGGTAACACTTTAGTTTAGGGTTAGCATACATATTACAATGATATTGGCTGTTTATTATTACTTATAAAGCAAATATTAATGCCTCATTCTGCATCTCTAAACATAACAACTACCTTACTGGGTATTTAAGTCGTAGTTAATAGTGAGAATTGGACCCTAATCTAAAGTATGAGCATATTGCTATTGCATTTGATACTTTAAAGGAATACTCAACTTTTTTGGAAATGGGCTCATTTTACAACTCCCCCAGAGTTAAACTGTTGAGTTTTACCGTTATTAAATCCATTCAGCCGATCTCCGGTTCTGGCGGTACCACTTTTAGCATAGCTTAGCATACATCATTGAAGTGCATAAGACCATTAGCATTTCTCAAAAAAAAGACCAAAGTGTTTTGATATTTTTCCTATTTAAAACTTGACTCCTCTGTAGTTACATCGTGCACTTAGACCGACGGAAAATGTAAAGTTGTGATTTTCTTGGCTGATATGGCCAGGAACTATACTCTCATTCCTGCTTACTAATCATTCATGGTACAGCAGTAAAGTTTCTTGTAAAGTTTCGCAGGAATGAGAGTATAGTTCCTACTTCCTAGCCATATCAGCCAAGAAAATCACAACTTTACATTTTCCGTCGGTCTTAGTGCACGATGTAACTACAGAAGAGTCAAGTTTTAAATAGGAAAAATGTCGAAACACTTTTTTTTTGTTGAGAAATGCTAATGGTCTTGTGCACTTCAATGATGTATGCTAAGCTATGCTAAAAGTGGTACTGCCAGAACCGGAGATCGGCTGAATGGATTCAAAAATGGTAAAACTCAACAGTTGAACTCTGGGGGAGTTATAAAATGTGCCTATTTCCAAAAAAAAAATGGAGTATCCCTTAAAAACTTGCATCAACATATACATTTATTGGTCAATTATAACTTAAGTGTCATTTCTCCAGAGATTTAAAACTATTTCCTCTCTTTTATGTGTTTGCTGCAGTTTTCGTCGTGATATCCTGATGCAAGTACTGAATCGACATGAATCATATCATATCATATCAGGGCTTCAAAATGTGAGTGCGACAAGCTTTGCAAATGTGCTAAAAAACACAAATTGTCAAAAAATATAGTCGGCATTAATGACAGACAGGATTCACAAACAAATGAACCGGTTGTTTTCAATGAGTCAGACAAAAAGTTTCACAAAGCATCCACATACTTCCTTGCAATTTCACAACTAAAAAACCAAACAAGGTTGACAACATTTCTGCAAAAATAGCATTGCGTTGCTGCTTGCATGTGTTCAGTTTTATCCGAACTAAGCCCAACCCTAAACCTAACCGATAGCGTTAAAAAAAACAGAGTGAGACAATGCATTTGCTGATTTAACTTTGCCATTTTAGCTCAAGCCTTCGAGCTCTGTTTATTATAGTCAAAGTGTCTTACTTTTCAAATAATACACTATGCTAAAAGCGTTTTGAGGTCACAGCATAGTATCGTGCAAGGAACCTTGTGAAAATACATCAATCTGCCAATGTAATCATAATTTGTGGGAAAAGGAATAAAAGTTGTTGAGTGTTTTCCTGCCACTAATGTTCATTTCAATTGGAAATGGCAGTGAATTGAATGTATAAGTACGTTTTTACAAATGTATGTAGGTGGAGGCACATAAGGTAGCTCTACTAAACACCACTTCATTCATCAGTCTTCTACAGTGATTCAATTACAACGAACCAGAAAAGACTCCATTAGGAGCGATACAGCGTCCAATAGGTGAAAGTCAGCAAGATGTTTGCATCAAATGAAACCCAATTGACCTCACTTCAGTCAAGGAAGAACTGGAACTGTAATAAAAAGCCTCTGGTGTTAGAGATGCTGTGAAAGCAGTGATCAGACGCCTGGCCTCAGATAGCCTTGATTATATGTGTTAGAACAGTGGAGAAGAACAATCTCTCAAACTACAGGGTGCGATGAAGACTGCTCCCATCATGGAACTGACACACTCTTCATCATCTGCTTCTGACAGATTGGACCTTGAGAACACACTCACAAACACCAACAATAGAGGGAATGCGCGTGACGTCACCGTCGGCCGGCGTGCCTGCAGTTCCTCACAGTGGCAAAAAGGCTGAGCGGCTGTATGTGTTCAGCGTGAATGCCGCGAAAAACAAACACAACACACACAAATAAAGTGGGAAAGAGCTTTGCGATTGACTGTAGGCCTACAACTAGATTTTACAAAACATCTGAGGTTTATTTTTACAGATTGCTATGGAAAGAGGAGCAAATAAATCGCTGCAATTCACAGAAACAACTGGACTCCAGTCAGCAAAAGGTGGATTTGCAGTTATCATTTTGTGTCAATATGCTGAATTTAGCTGTAAAACCATACCCATATATTTAGTATTGTTATATACATTAACAGCTAATCAATTAAATATTTATCATTGCATATTCTGCATTATTGGATGTTTTTTTAATAAACACTGACCAAAAAAACGTATAAAGTTTTAGGGCTGGACGATATTTTATATATATATATATATATATATATATATATGAAGAGTTCAGATGCAAAAGCCTCTAAGTGCCATTTGAAATTTTCTTCTAGAATGATCATTTTTATCAAGCTTGTATATTTAAGTTCAGTGATTTCAATTAAATGGCAATGATAATTACCTATTAATTGTTATTTAAGTGAAATTACTGAACTTAAATATACAAGTTTGATAAAAATCATCATTAAAGAAGAAAATTTCAAATGGCATTTAGAGGCTTTTGCATCTGAACTCTTCATATATATATATATATATATATATATATATATAGGCAGCGGCTATATATAACACTGATATAAGTAATCACCCGGATATAGACATACCTATATTATATTTATATAAAGCGTTCACGGGCAAATTTGCTTTATGTTTAGGTCTTGCTTTTATTTCCCGGTGTCGAAATCAGGCAAACATAAATGTCAGGCAACACGATTCCTGGCTGCATGTCAATATCCATGGATCACTGGATCTTTAGTAAGTTGTAAGGAACACTATATTGAGTCCAACATTTAGTTTAAATTGATAAAATTGTTCGATTTAGTCGCATTTTCGCATTTTCCCCTATTAAATCCAGTCACGCAGCAGATCTTTTGCCACTCGGTCAGGCTGAGGGGGGTTGTCACGCGGGAAAGTCACGTGTCAATGCATTCCCTCTATATACAAAAACTTGCATTCAAAAGCCAGTTGTTACCTCTGATTTAGCCGGCGCTCATCGTCACTTCCAAAGTCCTGGGAAAATAAAAAGGAATGAAACAGAAGTTAGTTATCGAAAACAAAAGAGCACTAAGACATGTCCACACTATTCTATTTTAAATTGTATTGCTTTGAGCCTCCAGATAAAGAACAGAGCAGGGTGCATCTTTTCTGATGTGATAAATCAATCGTCTTCACACATCTTCCACCAAACCAAATTATAAGTTATAAATTCAGCATCTGTTTGAAAATGTCAGCACAATACCGGGATAAATAACGGAGAGGCCAGAATCCCTGAGGCCTCGGAACTTTTCCAAATTCCACAACCTCACCCGACTCAAACCCAGCGCAACGCACAACAATCTGGCTTAAACATGTTTCTTTTTTCCCCTCGCTCTCTCTCTGCTAAATGTGTACCATTTAAATACAAGACCTATGTGTCCTATATAACAAAAAAAGCTTTGATACTTCACTATTCACAGCGGCGTAATATGACAAAGGAGAAATGTTCTCTCAAAACTGAAACGTGAACAACGGGGCCTCTCCTAGATAATGTTTCATCATAACAAAGAGTGTTTTTTAAATAGTTCCTCACTGTATGAAAGTGACGGCCCTGGTTATTAGGTTACTGATGGTGGTATGTGGCACTGAATAGAGGCAGGGTGGTGTACCATGGTCATATGTGACTGATGCCTGAAGGGGAAGAAACTGTGACAGAGGAATTGGTTGTGCCAGGGTTTCTGTCACGTACCAAAATCTGTCCCTTCATGCAGAATGCTGGGTTTATAAAACTTTAAAATCAGGGCAGAGTGAGGAGAGGAAATAATGAGGTTTGTGAACAGAAACAGACTTTATGGAGGCATGAGGGTTTTCTGAGATTTGCTAAGTGGAAGAACAGACAGCGTGGGGCGAACGGTGAAACATAAGAAGGTAGAAATCAATATGGTGCTCCGGAAGATTCACTAACCCATTATAATTCTGTAATTTCGGAGTGAAATTCAAATCATATATGCACAATACGATTGTGAATTAAAGGACTAGTTCAAATGTTGTTCCAGAAATTCTTTGTCTTCCCAATATACTGAGAGTAAATGAAGACTGGGGCTCAAAGACTTCATATAAAGCCCCATAAAATATAGGGGTGTAACAAGATCTAATTATGACTAATGATGTTATGTATCTGATACCTTTTCAAGATGCACCTATATTTTTATTTTGACACACCTATGAAAGCCACATCTACATAATTTTGCCTTTATACAACTCTACTTGGGATTGCAGCAAATAATAATAGCATAATATTTTGGTTTCACAGGAATCTTACATTTATTGAGGAATTCTGATTATGATAAAAGTAGTCCTTGTTCATTAAGCATCTGACTAAAGCATTTCATAGTCATACCAAGTATAATTTAAGATAGACTTTTTTGTAAAAGATATCTCTATTATTCCATATAAAGTACCGATGTGGTGAAAAGTTATGTTTTAGATTAATTGTTAAGCCAGTAGTGCCTGCTTATGGAAGTTTGCCAGCTTATTTGGGATTTCTTCAATAGCAAAATTACATTTTTAAAAGTACATTGATACCACCGCCAATTTTTCACTTTCTATTGTCAAGTCAACTAGTAAGAGACACAACGTCATGTATTACTCACCAATACAACACATCACCCTGCTGAAATAAAACAGGTAACTTTCCTCTGCCTTGTCTATAAGCAAGGACTAAAATAAAGCTAATTAATATGAATTAATATAGATTCTGGAATAAAGTACATTTTTAAGTAATCACGATAGTTAGGTGAATCGGTCTTTCCCCCCAGCCCAAACAGATTGCCGGTCATGTTTTCTTTTAGAATCATCATTAGTAATGTACAGCGTCATTAAGAGCACTCCAAGCCCCCCGGACCCTGTGTCATTTTCAGTAAGTTCTGTAGTGTTGTCAAAAATATTGATATTTTAATATGCATCGATACTGAAATTTCTGAAACTGTTCCAATTCTCCTTCTCTGCAGTATCGATACACCGATACCAGCTGCGCGTTATCACTCTCTCTTCTCTCCGACGGTGAAGTGCATAAGCTCAAAGTGACAGCAGCCTAATAAACCTGCTGCTGTTAAATAAAGAACAAAAGCTACTCTAGACTGAATAACTTTAGTGTCGTTTTGTAATTGTAATGTAAGCATTAATGTGTTAGCAATGAGAACTATCCAGTGTTATTTGATTAGCTCCATTTCTGTAGTATTTGTTACCTGAAAACTGATAGACCCGCCTAAAAGATTTAAAGGAGTAGTTCACTTTTAAAAAAAACTTTTGCTGATAATTTACTCACCCCCATGTCATCCAAGATGTCCATATCATTCTTTCTTCAATCGAAAAGAAATTAAGATTTTTGATGAAAACATTCCAGGATTTTTCTCCATATAATGGGAACCAAACGGCTCACGGTCCAAAAGACAGTTTCAGTGCAAAATGCAAACTGTTCAAAGGGCTTTAAACGATTCCAGACAATGAATAAGGGTCTTATCAATGAAACGATCGCTCATTTTAAAAAAAATAGCAAAGTTTAAGTTTTATAAGCTCAAATGGTCGCCTTGCTCTGTTCTGTGATGCGCGTTCGTGACTCTCCTGTAACTTGTTCATCAAAATGAACAAATCTTTTTTCGTGTCATTTGGTTCATTCAACAAACGATTTGACTCGGGAAAAGATTTGTTCATTTTGATGAATGAGTTCGAACAGGAGAGTCATGAACGCGCATCACAGAACAGAGCAAGGCAACCATTTGTGCTTAAAACATAAACTTTGTTGTGTTTTTTTTGTTTGTTTTTTTTAAATGAGTGATCGTTTCGCTTGATAAGACCCTTATTCATTGTCTGGAATCGTTTAAAGCCCTTTGAACAGTTTGCAGTTTGTACTGAAACTGTCTTTTGGACCTTGAACCATTTGGTTCCCATTTAAGTCCATTATATGGAGAAAATCCTGGAATGTTTTCATCAAAAACCTTAAATTCTTTTCGACTGAAGAAAGAAAGACATGGACATCTTGGATGACATGGGGGTGAGTAAATAATCAGCAAAAGTTTTTTTTAAAGTGAACTACTCTTTTAAAGCCATGTTTATTTCATGTTTATTGTCTCTATATATTGTTTTTTCTTCAAAATTCATCAGAAAGTTGCCTTAAGTGTTTTCGTGAAACAGGTTTGGAACGACGTAAAGAATGTTTTGATTTCATGTTAAATTTAATCTAAATACCACACAAAGCTTACACAGATTTTTACCCTTGGAACATTAAAACCAATAACAGCACTGGAATTATTTCTCAAAAAATGAGTTCTCTACACCTTCTTTCTATTAGCCCATCTATCTATCCCTCTCTCTCTCCTTCTGCACGAGATGACATCACTGCAGCTGCATGTTCCCAGTCCTCATGTTTGAGGTCGTGCTGTGAATTCTAAATAGCGTTTCCTCACTAGCGTAGCGCATTATGCTATCATTCTTAGATTTAAATACTATGTTATATATCTAAAGATAAAACATAGGAACAATTGAGGGACAAAGACAAAGGTCAGAAAGACCACATTTCCTAAGAGGTTCAAGAATGTTGTTAATCTGATCCTGATACTTTGCGGCAGAAACCGAATTAAAGTGTGAAAGTGTTATGCCCTGAACTGTGTGTGTATATATAATAAAAATAGTACACAAAATATCTATAATTCATAAAGCTAGAGTTAGTACTCTCATAATACAGTATCTGATGGATGTGTTTTGTGCTTGATCACTCAAAAGTGTAGAGCTAGCGCCTCCTACTGGTTGTAACTAGTACAATGATTTTCTAAGACAACTGTGATGTCAGAGGAACTATTCAGTTATGAAGGTGGGGTGCTCATGTAGGAAAGACAATTTAAAACCTACAAAAAAAGAAGGGTTTTCCTTATACTTTTCAGAACCACCTCCTGAGAATGACTAATAAAGGCCATTCAGCTCTCCCAGTGAGACTGGCTAAAAGGGTCCCGCTTCTAATGAAAAGGTAAAAACAGGAGGCCTTTCATTGCATGAGAGGAGCTTAGCTGTGCCACGACACAATGACTTAGATTTAAATTTCTGTTGAGAAGAAATGCAGTCATCGGGGGGGTGGGACCTTTAACTTTCACACAAAGAACAGCAGCTCATGAAGGGCTAGTGTAACAAAAATTGACCGCCTGCAGATTTGCACCACAGAGATACGGTAGCAAACTATAACACTAATTTGTGGAAGCCCAAATGAACTTTGGGGAATGGGGAAGACAGTGTTCAGTTTCTGTTGTTGGACAGTTTCATTGTATACAGGAGAGACCATGACCAAAAAGCTCCCCCCTTTTTGACAGTTCCTCTGTTAAAATGGCTTGACCAAATGAATGGAAGCATACAGTCCAACACAATACCATGGGATAAAACAAACTCCTCCATTTACTACTACATACAATGACGGGGGACAAGTCATTATATTTTCAATAAAAATATAACCACAGAATGCAGTGAAATAATCTGTGTGCTTGTATCTTGCCATTTAACGATGCACTAGCTGGTCCCTAATCTGTCCCATTAATACCAACTGTTATGACATATCTGTATATAATAATATATAAAGTGTGTTTTGTAAAGATGTGCTTGTTTTATTAAGATGTGTGCACAAATAGTAACAATATTATCTGGAACATGGTAACCTAAATGAAATATCTCATCATAGACCAAAATGAAAAAGACATACATTTTTTATTTAGTAAGTATAACCAAAGAACAAAGCTTATATTACTTTTATGTTTGTGTGTTGCAATTAGCACTTGCACGCTGACTCACTCAATTCCAGGCCGGTCATGTGATGTCAACAGCGGCAGCATACAGTGACGAGCCCCTTCATAACAGCTTTTTATAGGCTGATATGTCTTCATGTTTTGTGGGTGTAAATAGTTTTAACGTATATTATTCCCAAAAGTGTCATTCATTTGTATAAAGTTGAAGTAAAACATACTGAGTGCACCTTTAAGACTTGGCATGGTCTCCACGATAAATCCTTAGTCTGTACCAAACAAAACAGTGTTTTGTGGTTCGTTTACTAAAATTAGACGCATTCTTTCACAATCGTTAAACCACAAATCGCAGGACAGCCTGGAAGCAAGCCATTAGCTCAAAAAAGTACCACAGCCCTGTCAAACTCTCTCTCCTGGTGACAGAATTGATCAGGATTCAAATCAAGAGCATCCCACCTCATCTAACCACATCCATAAGAAAAGCAGCAAAATCACAAAAAACACAAGATTAAGGTGACTGATCAAGAACTCAACAAATTAGGACAAAAAATATATGCATATATAAGTGTGACTAGTTTACGTACATAATATACATATCACATATGTGAGCTATAGTGGATAAAAAGCCCAAGGCGAATCGTGTCATCTCACAACAGAGTGACACAGCGTTCAATCCTCCATAAACCCTGGTGGCATCCCGCTAGTTAGCTCTCCAGCCTGAGCTGTATTAGCATTGGGCCTACGTGACTAATTTATATGCGTCCCTTATGTCTTTTATAAAACATTACATCATCTCATCTCAGCGTGTTTATTTCCGCTTACCTCCCCCGCGTTGTTGGTGGTGGCGGTGCTGGAAGTGGACGCCGCGCTGGGAGTGGGCGAGCGCTGCAGGGTTACCAGAGCCATGGATGGAAATCTCCCAGCACAACGGCCAGTTTAACTGTCACGAGCTAAACCGACTAGCGGATTTCCCCCTAGCAGCAACAGCGCCGGATACACGGGGACTGTGCTGCAACTCCACGCGCTCGGTGGGGCCACTGTTAAAAGGCCATCTGTCTGAGCCGCTGATCGGCGTTGTTTATGTCGCTGAATCCGCTTTGACATGAGCTGGATGATGTTTGGTGCTTTTCTCTCTCTCTCTCTCTCTCTCTCTCTCTCTCTCTCTCTCTCTCTCTCTCTCTCTCTCTCTATTTCTCTCTCTCTCTCTATTACTCACTGCCGCATGTGGCTGAAACACTGACTACTGCTGCTGCTTGTAGTGGAGTTTGCGATTCAGTGTTTTTGAATGAATCATTTATGTGAACGAATCGTTCTCGTTCACCGAATCCATCTCCCTTTCGAAGCGAGAGACTGCTTTCATGATTCAGTGACTGACCTAGCATGGACCAATAACATTCGAGTATGGGCTGAGGGTGGAGCATATCATTGGTTGGACTGGTTGGACTCATAGACAGTAGGTTGGACTCACCATAGACGGAACGAACACAAACGAGCACGGCCTTTACTGAACGAGTCAGTGTTTTGAATCCGAATCTTTGGATATGAATGAATTTGGTGATGTTTGTGGGAATGTAGTGACAAGGAGGAGGTAAAAGGGATAGTTCACTTTGAAATTAATTTTTGATATGTTTTAGCTTACCTCAAGGGCATCCAAGATGCGTAGGTTTCTTTGTTTGATATTTTAAGGTCAAACCGTTCTTGTCTGTCAGTCATATAATGGAGATATATGGGGTCCACCTCAAAGACCAAGCACAGATAAGTCCAAATTAAACATGATTTAATGACTCGTTAATGTAAGTACACATTGATGGCCTAAGACACGAAATGAGCGGTTTGTGTGAGAAAACGGTATTTATATCGTTTTTACCTCTTGTAATCACAGTCACATTCAAGTGATCTGAGGGCGAGGGCGCTTATATCAGCGCAAGCGCGCCGGAAAGCCCCGGAAGTGATCTCTCGCGTGTGTACGAGATTTCAGAAGTGTTATCCTTCATTGTGAAGATCTAAACATGTTTTACAAGAAATTGCAATGGAAGACGATTTCGATATATCAACAGACAACGTTGATTTTTTTTCCCGCAACCACGCAAGAGATTACTTCCAGTGCTTGCGCAGACCGAAGCGTCCATGCCTTCAGATCACTTGGACGTGGCTGTGGTTACAAGAGGTAAAAACAATATAAATAATGTTAGTTTTCTCACACAAACCGCTCGTTTCGTGTCTTAAGGCCATCGATGTGTACTTACATTTACGAGTCATTAAATCATGTTTAATTTGGACTTCTCTGTGCATGCTCTTTGTGTTGAACCCAGGGTGACCCCGTAAACCTCCATTATCTGACTGACAGACAAGAACGGATTGACCTAAAAATAAGACATAAAGGCAACATCCTTCGTTTGTTTACCTTATCTCTGAGTTATTTTTATTACGAAATGCAAAATGTAGTCTTGTCCTAGGTCTGATCCGCTCAGTTTGTTTCTGCAGGAGTCGTTTAGTAACTGTGGGTGGAGTTTTCCAAGTAGGAAACTGGAATCTGCAGAACAGTTCTGTTGACCATAAAAGAATCTGGGAAGATGCCTGCAAGCTTGAGCCCAGTCTACAGGTAGTAGGATATCAGAAGTTGTATTTTTTATACAGATCTGCTCAATTACTCTCTCTAGCTTGCCCGGATAGTAGAGGACTGGACTGGTCTCAGGCCCGCATGCAGCAAAGTTAAACTGGAGAGAGAGACCATTAGACCATTTGGTCCACACGCATTTGAGGTGAGCTCGTTGTGAAGAGAGCACTGTTTTATTGGCTTAACTCTTCCTCTTTTCACACATGCTGTTTTCATTCACCTCAGGTCATCCATAACTACGGACATGGAAGTTTTCCACCGTAGATGTGCTGAAGAAGCTGCTCGGCTGTTTGGACAGATCCTGGAGCAGAAAGGCTTGCTAGCACACTCAAATCACGCCTGTAATAATAGATATGGGCTTCTGGATAGTGTTATGCATAATCTCATCAGACTTCAATCAGCAATATTATCCTTATTCTTTTAACCACTGTCACACTGATTCCAAAATAATGGATTCCATGAGTTTAAGAATCCTACTGTGATGTAAATGTTAATTTATAATTTTGTATATATATACTCTTATAATAAAAATAAAAGATGACACATTATAACAGAACTGAATTGTCAACACTTACTCTGCTAATAAAGAATCAAAAGACATTATGCCAACATTATTTATTTACTGATTTTATGACACAGTATCCAGATTTTACCTTGGAGTTAATTCAACCTAAAATTCTAGTAGGCTTACCATGTAATAAAGTATTCCCAATTCAGCCCATTGTGAGCTCATATACACGAATAGCGCCACCTAACGTCACAAAAACTGAGTTGACGTTACGTAATGTGGGAAAAAGTTAATTTGTAAGTTTTGCGAGCTGTCATTACATAGCTTGAGACTGTGCCTGCAAGAGAGAAGATAGAACCTCCTGTTTAGGACAACGCGATCTCTTTTTGTAGGTAACAAGAAGAAAAGTTTGGTGAGTAAACTGCTCTTTTATGAAGTACGAAGTGGCAATTTCTACCTTGAATGCAAGTCGCTAACAAAACGTCTGTCAAATGTACATTATTCATGTTTAATATGGAGTAAAATATTGGATAACATGACATAACATAAACCTATTATGTTATCTTGTCATTGTGTCCTTACTATATGGCGTTTTAATGGACATAAGACTAATAATGTCCTTCCCATAAACATATGGTAGCATTGGACACAGTTTTTGCTCTGAAATTGTTCTCAAATCAGTTTGCAACAACAACAAAAAAACATTTACACTTGCATTACCTTTTTTTGACATACAGTGATTTACAGTAGGCTATATCATTATTAAAATAGAAATAAATATGTATTTACACATTTACACACACTTATTTCCTGCAGACATGAAGGTGTGCATCATTGGAGCGGGGGTCATCGGCCTCTCCACGGCTCAGAGCATCTACCAGCACTTCCACAGCCGGGTCACCCCTCTCACCATAGAGGTGTATGCTGATGTCTTCACTCCACTCACCACCAGCGACGGGGCAGCTGGACTCTGGCAGCCTTATCTATATGACAAGGGGAACGTGCAAGAAACGTGAGCTTACAGTTGTACATTTGTACATTTGTCCATGGTATAAACAATGGCAAATTAATTAGTTGAAGTGCATGTTTTTTAATATTCCTTCACAGTAAATGGAACAAAGAGACATTCGACTATCTGTTAAGCTGCCTCAGCTCTCCAGATTCAGTTCAAATGGGAATCTTTCTCCAGTCTGGCTATAACCTGTGCACTGAACCTATGGCGGTGAGAAAATATTTTTCAAATGCATGTAATATCTTTTTTTGCAGTATACAAAATGTTCTATAATAAACTGCAAGTTTTGATATATAGACCATGCAATATTATATTGTCACATAATTTAGGTGTCTCCCTACTGACCCTGAACTACATTCTTTTTGCACTGTACCAGTCCAGTGCATGGCATGATCAAAATTGCAGAACAGAGCATAATGAACTTTACTGCAATCTCTCTGCTCCGCTCAAACAGGACCCCTCATTTAAAGACACTGTGTTGGGCTTTCGCCAGCTAACTAAACGTGAACTAGATATGTTCCCGGGATACAGGTACAAATCACCTGCATCTAATCACAAGTTATTTCTATAATTTGATGCTGCTGACTTGTTTTCAAAATCATTCCTTAAATTTGATTTGTGAACGTAATGTGTTATGTCGCCTTTCTTTTTTCCCTCAATCCCTTTAAGTTTTGGGTGGTTCAACACTGCTATCATGATTGAAGGAAAGACATACCTGCCCTGGCTTATGAAATGGTGAGAGATTCCTGTTATCTTATCAGTAAGCCAAATTATGAATGAATTAGAATAAAGTATGGCTCATTCAAGGTCTAGTTTAAACTTAGGAAAAAAAAAAAATCAAGCTAAACATTAAGACTAGATTTTCTCTATAAGTTAGAGTGTATGTATATACATTTCAGAATAACTGTAAAGTCTGTAGTGGACTTGTTGCTCATTTACAGTATGTTTTTTTTTTTTTCAGGTCTTACAATGATTAAACAGTCTTGTTTCTGTGTTTTTCACAGGTTAGGACAAAGACAGGTTAAGTTTTATCAGAGGAAGATTGGTTCATTTCAAGAGGTTTGAGAAATTCCATTGTCATTCTTACACTTAATAAATAAAAATATCAAGATCTTAAAATTTACTCTACCTTTAAAAAGTGTGTGGTTAGTGTGATTTTAAAAAAGAATACTTTTAATCAGCAAGGATTCGTTAAATTGATCAAAAGTGACAGTAAAACAGTTTCCACAAAAATACTAAACGGCACAGTATTTTTCTACATTGATAATATAAAGAAAAGTTTCTTTAGCAACAAATCCGCATATTAGAATGATTTCTGAATACTGGAGTAATGATGCTGAAAATTCAGCTTTGACATCACTGGAATAAATTACATTTTAAAATATGTTAAAACAGAAAACCCAAATTTTCCTGCTAAATTATACTGAGAGTCTGTCTTTGTACTGTTGCAAAATGGTTTTAGTCATAGAATGTGTGCATTTTTAATGACCTCAAATTGTCCTCCAGTTGGCAGATAGTGGTGCGGATGTCATCATCAACTGCTCTGGTGTCCGATCAGGAGACTTACAACCTGATCCTGAGCTCAAACCAGGAAGAGGACAGATCATTAAGGTGAAGTTTAGTGAATAAAAGTTCATCAGACCTAGAGTTTTTACATATGTTGATTTCTTGCCTTTTATATCAACAGGTAGACGCTCCCTGGTTAAAGCATTGGATCCTCACACATGATTCCTCATCAGGAGTCTACAACTCACCATACATCATTCCTGGGTAAGTTGAAGTTGAAGTACTAAAACTTATACTGAAATAAATATAAATTAAAGCTAAATAGATTTTTTTACACGACTGAAAATTATAAAACCACATAAAATTATTAAAACTAAAATGAGTTTAAATGACTACATGACTAAAATGTAGTCTTGTCTTAGCAGTTGCACAGGACTTCAGGTCCTCTGGTTGTTTCTGCAGGAGTCGTTTAGTAACTGTGGGTGGAGTTTTCCAAGTAGGAAACTGGAATCTGCAGAACAGCTCTACTGACCATAGAGGAATTTGGGAAGCCGCCTGCAAGCTTGAGCCCAGTCTGCAGGTAGCTTTCAGCCATTTTAGCCTTGCTAAATTATTGTTTGCTTGACTGGCATGAGGGGATTGAGTCTTCTTTTATCTCTCTAGAACACACGGATAGTAGAGGACTGGACTGGTCTCAGGCCCGCACGCAGCAAAGTTAGACTGGAGAGAGAGACCATACGATTTGGACCACATGCTTTTGAGGTGAGCCTGTAGTGATCATAAAACTGAAGAGGGGTTGCTATAAATAGCCTAGATTATGTATGACTTAATGCGGAGCATTGTTATTGAAATATATATATATATATATATATATATATATATGAGATGGGAGAAAAATTATGTTGCAATGCATTTGTGTTCCCCAAAGAACCATTGCATTCGCTTGGAAAACATTTGCTCACTAAACTGTTGATGGAAATAATATGAAATAGGAGGGAAAACTATTTTCTTGCTTCTGCTAGTTTCTTGGGGGAACAGAATGCAAAAGTTTTGCAGGTTTGTGCAAAGTTTCTTAGAGGAAGTGTATTTTTCTTCCTATCTTATATATTTTCCCTTTAGGGCTCTGTAGATTCTCCTCTTTTCACACACACTGTTTTCATTCACCTCAGGTCATCCATAACTACGGACATGGAGGTTTTGGACTGACCATCCATCGTGGATGTGCTGAAGAAGCTGCTCGGCTCTTTGGACAGATCCTGGAGCAGAAAGGCTTGCTAGCACACTCTAAATCACATCTGTAATAATAGATATGGGCTTCTGGACAGTGTTATCCATCTCTCGAATTGTCGCTAATCTAATAAGAAATTGAGATGCATAATGCATTTGACTACATTTATCTGCACTAATCTACAATAAGACACATACTATTTTTCATTTTTTGAATCATAATTTATTGTTATCATACATGTACATCCAGTGCAGTGGCAAGAGATCTGTGCACAGAGACACAAAACGCGGCACTAAATCGCAAAAGGCAGGCATAGGAGACAACTCTCTGGATTCACAGGAACAACTGCACACTTCCCATCATGCCACACACAAACCCACTGTACGGTTGAAAAGGCATAAATACAAATGACCGAATATATAATTGAGAAGTGGAGCTGAAGAAACAAAAATAGTATGACAGTAATAAAAAATATACTTGGTCTACAGACCTGTTCAGATGAAAGCCACTCGGTATTGTTTTATTGTTACTGAGTTGTATTTTAGAAATCAGTAACCTTTGATATGCCAGATTATAAGGGAACAACTGGAGTTTTGTACATGAATGAGAATTTTCCATGAGTGATTGCAGTTGGCAGCCAGTGAGAGGACAAAGGGAGGTGCTGAGTGGTATGAAATGAAGACTTTGATGCCCACTAGATAACGTCACTGGTGTCAGCCAAAGTCTAACACTATCAATGGTTTAACATTTAACCAACCTAAAGTATGGCAAATGGTCCTTTGAGAGAGAAAAAAGCAAGATAACAGAGACCAAAAACTGGTGCAATGTCTGGTTTATAGCAGCATCCGGTCTCTGCTTCGATGAATAGATAAAAGTTGTCACGACCTCCCCAATGGAATGCTGGGAGTGGAGTGTAAGGCCCTCTTAAAAAATCAAATAAAATCTTCCTACTCGCTCTCATACCAAACCTGTCACAAACACACTTTCTCTTGTGCTATCTTTCAACTTCAAGACTTCAGGACTTTGAAAGTTCAAATCTTTCTTTCTTCTCCTAAACACCCCCAAATGCTCTTCAAATCCTTTGAACATATGAGAGTGATGATGGTTTTCGTGTGTTAAACTGCATAATGCAATTATAGATCTGTTTTCAACCCATTTACTGTTGTATTTCCTGGGAATGAGGCAAAAGGGGATTATTATGTGATGGAAATCTATTCCCCTTTATTTTTAAGGTCCGGAGGTTCATAAAGAGAAACCTTGCAACCTTTGGTGGGGGGAACGTGTCATTAATGGACTGATTTAAATCAAAACCAAGCAGTTCTTAAAACAATTAAACTGCGATTCCTTAGTGGACACATTTTATTTTACAGATAATATTCCCCACTTCCATCTTAGACCAACTTCTTCTACAGTATAAAGTCTTTCCAAACCCCTCTGTAGTGTTCCCTCAGTCCTGTGATCCAGAGCTGGAATGTGGAATCCCTCCCGGACTGTGGTCTGAGGCCCGTCCCATCATCTCCTGACCCCACTCTCTGTGACTGGACTCCTGGAGGCCCCGTCCTGTGGTCTCTATGGGCAGTGCACAGGAAGCAATAGCAGCCAGCAAACAGCAGCAACAGTACACTGACAGAGTCAGATACACCGATGATTCCAGCATCACCTTCAGGAAAGAAGCAGAGATAGATAGATTATGGGAAATTTCTCGGGATCTCACATTCACATTGGGGTTAGTTAGATTTTTTGCTGTTTTGAAGGAAGTTTCTTATGCTCACCAAGCCTGCATTTACTTGATACAGTGTAAAAACAGTAATAGTGTGAAATATTAATACAATTAAAAATTCCTGTGATGGCAAAGTTGGTGTCACATGTCCTTTAGAAATCATTATAATATGCTGATTTGCTGCTCAATTATTATTATCGCAGTGTTTTGCAGTAGCACCTCAATGCAGTACATAAGATCCATGGAGAGGAGTCGGATCAAGATCCAAGGGGTGGAGATGGGTAGGATTAGGGTTGGGTTTAGGGATTAGGGGTCAGGGGGCGGAGATGGGTAGGTTTATGTGTATGTAAGGTGGGAGGAGTTGGATCTGGATCCGACTCCTCCCCGTGGATTTCATGTTCTACATTGAGAACCATCTCGTATTTTGTGTAAACTACACTTTAACTATCCTCTTTTTTTGCAGGATCCCTTGATGAATAGAAAGTTTAAAAATGATAACAGTACCTAAACCTGTGGTTTAAGTTAGTTATAGTTTTTTTCATACACTGTTTTCATACATGAAACATAATATCTTCATGAAAACATTTACACACATTTGCACACTTAGGGAATGAGCCTCATTGTTTTTTCTTCTCTCTTTTGTTAAGGTATATTTCTGGTGAGAATCTCAGTTTTAGCGAGCTGGACTCCTAATCATGTCGCCCACATGAGCAGCAAAGATCAACATATCAGATCAGGTGCCCTAACTGATTTCAAATAAATGAAGACAAAGAAAAGAAAGTATATTGGATCTCCAACATTAGGGTTAGACTATTCTGTATTTTTGAGTATTTTTCCATTTTCTAAGTAGTGTTTCCACACCTGTGCCACAAACGGTGTGATAAGAGCTCCAACTCGGGCCATCCCACTACTGGTGCCCAAACCCAGTGCCCTCGTCGCTGTGGGATACACCTGTAAACGACACCAAGAGAGAGATAACCATTATCTTCTCATTTAACATTGAACTATTACTTAACCACTGAGTGAATGGACTTACATGATCTACATGCATCCATTATTTCCCTAAAGCTTCTTCAGCATGATTTTATGCTATAAACACTTTCAAACCCAGTTAAATGTCCCACACAAAGATTAATGTAGTTAAGAAAAATGCCTCTCTCCTTTAGGTAATATAGAGTCAAGTAACTATGTAACTACGCAATGAAATGACCTCAATGACAGTAATTTCAAAGTCAACAGACAGACACTGTGTGTAATATTCAACCATCCAATCATTTATCTGGAGAAGAACTCCAGTAGTTTATGAAAAAAACGTAGGATGACAAAGTAGCCTGTTTTATTTCAGGTGAGTTGTTGCAATTGCTGCCAAGTGGTGGGAGTGAGCCATGAATTGGACGTTTCCCAAGGTCAAAATCCTTCTCTAGCGCAGCTGTTGCCTTGAGAGAAACATTTAACACCGCAATGATAGTCTACAGGCTTTACTCTCCTTACAATTTATCTGCCAAGAGTGTCACATTTTGCTGTGTTTCTATTTCACATTCTTTTGACATGGCAAAGAAGGATAGAGCTTTGCCTTTGAGCCTCGGTTCTTCCAAGAAATAGAAACGATATATAAACTGAGTTCTCACCTCAGGAGTATACACATATGCAGCCTGGAAACCTCCAGCGATGAAGGCCCTCGCAATGAATATAAATACTGTCAAAGAAGTCCTGCAATAAAGGGAATAGTCAGGCTATGTATCAAAGATGTCACATTAGAAAGAAATACTAGTTTGATTTTCCATGACATGTGGATGTAGATGTAAATGAACAGTATGTTCACATTTGAGATTAACACAGGCTTGAGTGCTCTAGAAAAATGTCCGTAATGGATGTGCTTTCTGACCTTCCCACACAGCCGTAGAGCGGCACAATGCAGAGGGAGAAGACAAAGAAACACAGTGCCATGGTCTTCCTCCTTCCTAAGCGATCGATTGCCCAAAGGGTCACCAACAGGCCTGTGATGCATCGATCAATACATTCGTCACATTTTCATTTTAGCCTGCCATACGTTACGTAAAAATGAGATGTTAAAGGGATACTCCACTTTTTTTTGGAAATAGGCTCATTTTACTACTCCCCCAGAGTTAAACAGTTGGGTTTTACCGTTTTCAGATGTATTCAGCCGATTTTATGATATTTAGAAGAATATCAGTAAACAGACAGTTTCTGGTCTCATTGACTTCCATAGTATATTTTTTCCCACTATGGAAGTCAATGAGACCAGAAACTGTCAATATTCTTCTAGATATCAGAAAATCGGCAGAATGGATTCGAAAACAGTAAAACTCAACTGTTTAACTCTGGGGGAGTGGTAAAATGAGCCTATTTCCAAAAAAAAAAGTGGAGTATCCCTTTAAAGCAGCACCAAGCGACTTTTCCTCTGTGGTCGCCCTACAGGTTGGAAGCGGAATTGTCCATTACCGCTGTGGTAAATAATTTAGCTTACCGCAACCTACTGTCGCACGCGCACACACATGTTCTCTGTTTATCCAGCACTGGCTTTGGAATCAACAATGGCCACAGACAAGATAGAGTATGATGCATGATTTTATGAAAGTGTAGTTGTAGTCTACTGTCGAGTACACGCCACCTATTGGCAATTGTAACGCTTGCCGTAAAGCAAGTCAAATTTGTAGTTTTCTTATGTCTGATTCGGAATACAGAAACGCGACCTGATCTGGCAATCTTACATAGTGTGGATATATCAGATGAAGGACCACAAAGCAGTGGCATAAATGCATTTCACCATGTCACGACTTGGTGAACCACTGAAACGATTTTGAAAACATTATTTTAAGGTAAAAATTCGTACTTAGTGTTGCTTTTATGGTGTAATAATTGAAAGATGTACCTGGAAACTCAGAAAGTGTGGTCCATAGAAGGTCTTTGTAATCATCTGAATTCAGATATTTGCACTCCAAACTACATCCTGGGTCCCTTTTTCTGCCCTTCCCCCCTAGGGAGTGATACACGACCAATATATGCATACAGAACACATTGGTTGCATTTGGTTCATTTTCTACCACACTATAATTTGAAATGCATAACACATACTGATTTATACTGATATAGTTTATTAAACGTGGTATTCTATTCCATACTTGGCCTTTACATTCTCACTATGCTGCTCCAGTCTGTTTTAAAACACACAATGTCTGTCACTCACCACCACAGGCGCCTCCCTCCTGGAAAAGCTCAGTGGTCAGCAAAACCACACCATAATATGAGAATGCATTAGAGAACCTGCAACAGGAAGTGTATAATTATATAATAAAATAAACAGAATATGAATGCAAGCAGCAAGAACTATCCATTGTGAAATATTTGAGTAAAATTGTGCAATAAAAGAGTGAGATCTGACAAATCTCAAGGAACAAAAAGTCCGTTTAAGGATTAGTGGACATCTACATTCATGATTTAATGACTGTTTACACAGTAATTTGTAGGAATCAGTATTGTAGGACTCTTTTACCATATGAACCAGAGCAGAACAGTAGTCCAGCGCAAGGGTGGAGAGAAAAGATCCCGAAGTTTTCCCCTGTCCTCCTAAGCACAGAAAACAACAATTATACTCAAAATAAGGAGATTTGACTTATACATAACAATATTTATCACTAAAAATTGTGTGAACATTTTTAAAATGTTTAATTTATTTCTGTGATGGCAAAGCCGAA